AGCGAGAATCTACAATCAATGGAAACAAGAAAATATAAATAACAATTATTGAATGTTCCTTTTTCTTTGGCTGAGGAATGCTCTGAGGAACTTAAAAACACGATCTGGAAAGAAGGAAGACAGTTGTTCCAACTCTAGAATCAAACAAAAGACATCTGCTGATTTTACCAGCACATTTAACTTCTCATCTATGTAAAGAGATGAAAAGGATCATAAATAAACCACTGACTCATTTTATAGAGAAGAAAGAATATCAGAACGCCACAGGTCAATGAGGAGAGTGTTGTAGCTGTATTTGGATATTGAAAAAGTTTATGAGACGATGTTGGAGGGAAGGCTTTTGATTAAATTAAGAAGATGCAAATCAATGGTTTAATATTCAGCTGGATAAAAGATTTTCTGCATAACCGATCGATACATCTAAGAAAAGGAAAATATTAACAGAAAATGTTTGTGTTAAAAATTGTATTATCCCACGAAGTATAATCATTCTGGTACTTTTTTCACAATGATACATGTAGTGAATAAAAACTGGAAAAGGGAATCTGCTTTTTTTCTTTTTGCTGGGGATAGATCTAAAAGATGGGTAAAAATATAAACTTCATCGAATATTTTCCTGCTTTTATTGCTATGCTTATTTTTGGTTGCTATCTTGCTGCTGTGCTGTAATCTCTCCGCTTGGGAGCAATGCAGTAAATCTAATCCAATTAATGAAACTGAAAATTGGTCCCATGGGGATTTGAGATATCTATAAATTAAAGGTTTTGAGTTTTTGGGCATCTGAGGAAAAGGCTCAGCTGGAAAGTAAATGGTCAGAAAATAACTGATAAATGCAAAAATAGATATAAAGGTTATAAAGCATCTGGTTGGGAATGAGGGGGAGGTGAGCAGAAAGGATGGAAGTCAACATATTCAGGTTTATGTTTCACTGAGATTGTATCACGCTTTAGTTTAGCTCCATTTTCATTACTCTAAACTTTGGATATTAGTCAGTAAAAAGCAATAGCATTATGTGCCTTTAGAACAATACCCACTTCAATAACTGAAATGCCTCTACAGCTAAAGAGAAAACAGTTTTAGGTAATAAATCCAAGTGAAAATCCTTCATATAAAGAGATTTTAAAACCAAGTTGGGAAAAGAAAGATAGAAATTAAATTAATTTGGCTGGACAGCAGATAAACGTATGAAGGACTCAGAATTCTTAAATACAGGTCCTTCTCAAAATGTTAGCTTACTGTGATAAAGTTCATTATTTTCCATAATGTAATGATGAAACTTGAACATTCATATATTTTAGATTCATTCCACACTAACTGAAATATTTCAGCTCTTTTATTGTCTTAATACGGATGATTTTGGCATATAGCTCATGAAAACCCCAAATTCCTATCTCACAAAATTAGCATATTTCATCCGACCAATAAAAGAAAAGTGTTCCTAATACAAATAAAGTCAACCTTCAAATAATTCTGTACAGTTATGAACTCAATACTTGGTGGAGAATCCTTTTGTAGAAATGACTGCTTCAATGCGGCGTGGCATGGAGGCAATCAGCCTGTGGCTCCGCTGAGGTGTCATGGAGGCCCAGGATGCTTCCATAGCGTTTAGCCTTTAGCTCATCCACAGTGTTTGGTCTTGCCTCTCTCAACTTTCTCTTCACAATATCCAACAGATTCTCTATGGGGTTCAGGTCAGGAGAGTTGGCAGGCCAATTGAGCTCAGTGATACCATGGTCAGTGAACCATTCACCAGTGGTTTTGGCTCTGTGAGCAGGTGCCAGGTCATGCAGAAAAAGGAAATCTTCATCTCCATAAAGCTTTTCATCAGATGGAAGCATAAAGTTCTCCAAAATCCCCTGTTAGCTAGCAGCACTATGCCTTTGATAAAACACAGTGGACCAACACCAGCAGCTGACATGGCGCCCCAGACCATCACTGACTGTGGCTACTTGACACTGGACTTCTGGCATTTTCTTCTCCCCAGTCTTCCTCCAGACTCTGGCAGCTTGATTTCAAAATGACCTGTAGAACTGAGCAACAGTCCAGTGCTGCTTCTCTGTAGCCCAGGTCAGACGCCTCTGCTGCTGTTTCTGGTTCATAAGTGGTTTGACCTGGGGAATGTGGCACCTGTAGCCCATCTCCTGCACACGCCTGTACACGGCGGCTCTGGATATTTCTACTCCAGACTCAGTCCACTGCTTCCGCAGGTCCCCCAAGGTCTGTAATCAAACCTTCTCCACAATCTGCCTCAGGGTCTGCTCACCTCTTCTCGCTGTGCAGCGTTTTCTGCCACTTTTTCCTTCCCACAGACTTCCCACTGAGGTGCCTTGATGCAGCAGCACTCTGGGAACAGCCTATTAGTTCAGAAACATCTTTCTGTGTCATAGCCTCCTGCTTGAGGCTGTCAATGATGGCCTTCAGGACAGCAGTCAGGTCGGCAGTCTGACCCATGATTGGGGTTCTGAGTGATGAACCAAGCTGGGAGTTTTAAAGGCCTCAGGAATCTTTTGCAGGTGTTTAAAGTTAATTTGTGGATTCAGATGATTATGTGCATAGTTCCTTTAGAGACCTTTTTCATGATATGCTAATTTTGTGAGATAGGAATTTGGGGTTTTCATGAGCTATATGCCAAAATTATCCGTATTAAGACAATAAAAGACCTGAAATATTTAACTTAGTGTTCAATGAATCTAAAATATATGAACGTTCAAGTTTCATCATTACATTATGGAAAATAATTAACTTTGTAACAATATGCTGATGTTTTGAGAAGGGCCTGTATATTTCATTAAAACAGATCTTTGATCATCATTTAATCTATCTCTGTTATCTGACGGTGATAAAGATCTAAGTTTCTTAAACAGAAAAATAAGGAGAATATTTCTGATCCAAGGATGGTTCTGCAATATTTAGATAATAAATACTATACATACATTCANATCAAGGACAGAGTAAATGCTTTGGAGATCTATACCAGCTTTTCAACTTTAAAATCTGAATTTTCTGCCTATTCTGGAGTTGAAGCTCAGTCAGTTCAGGTGGAAAACTTTTCTGAGCACAATTTTAGCTCCGACTTTATATTCAGGGTTATTCTCCTGCAGCATTAACGTTTACCTTTCCTTTACCCAACAAATGATGCACCGTTTAGTGTTGGACTACCTCGTACAATCGCGCCGAAGCAGACGGATTTTTCTGGTGAAAAATTGTGAAAAAGTTCCAGAGCTTGGATTTATTTATTTTTTTGCAAGACACTGTAAACCCACAGAAACTCTGACGGCAGCTTTCCTGTCATCTTTTCCTTCATCTGCCGACGTGTTACAATATTTTATAGCAACTTCTGAAAGCCTCACGTTTATCAGTCAGCTGGTCTGGTTGGTAGCTTTCAAATGACCGAATTATGCAATCGTTCTGATTTATTCTGTAAATGAATTCACACACCTAAATTATAAAACGCCAGGTATTTAATATCCGACTGCCAATGGAGAAATGAATGAGGGCTGAAGAGCTTAGTGTATAGAGTGTAATAATGACACATTTTAGACTGACTGTGCTTTTAAAAAGTTCTAATTCAGTTTGTTAATCATCTCTAAGGATTTTGTGTCCAAAAATCCATCTTTTTAATTTCAACTCTTTTGTATTTATTTTCTCCTCCTTCCAGTTAGCTTGTAGTAAATTGTGTACAGGTGGTTTTCTTTATGTTCCTGCAGTGTTTATCCATTTGGCTACAATACAGCAAGAGGAGTGTTTTGTTTCTCCTGGTGTTGAAAAGAAGCCTCCTTATTCCTGTGGTTGATGAGGACGTAATACATATACAGGATTAAAGAAATAATGTCTTGTGAACATTCAGAAGGTCAATCAGAGTCTCTCAGTTTAACCAGCAGCTGGTGAACAGGTTACGTTTGTCATTGTTGTGCGTTTCTTTGGGGAAACATCCTTTAAAAATACTTTGATGTTCAATCTAAATAAAAAATCATACTCCTTACATGTGATGGGTTCTGTATTTTTTTATTTTATTTAGTTTTTTTGCAAAACCAATGAGAAATCCTGATGCAGGGTTTAACCCAAAATAAAAGGCTATGGCTGGGTGAAACATGAAATGTTTTTTATTACGATATGTTTTTCTTTTCCTACTCTGATTATAAAAAGTAAATGCTGAATCAAATCTTTTACCCAAATGTCATATTGGCTCATTTTCTTTCAAACGGCCGCAGATAAACAAAGGCTGGAAAAATTACCCTCTGACATACAAACAAATATATCATTACGTAGACCAGCTTTATATAAACCACAAAGTCTCGTATCTCTTTGAAAAAAATCTTTTTAAGATCTCGATGTTTATCACAGCCACAGAAATGACTTGTATATCGGTGAGGAAATAGGTTTAGTGTATGTTTAACTATCGTTGTAACCACAGCTTTTGGTTAAGGCCTCACAATGCGGCCGGTAAACCATCCTTTTCAGGGGTTACAGGCTCCACAGACCTTATAGCAGCCGCATCAAGGCAGAAATCATGGTCCACACTGTTAGGTTCATAAAAGAAGGACTGAATACACACAGAAAGGGACTTTCAACAGCTTCCTGCAGGAGGGGAGAGACGCAACCCAACACACTACCTTCTCTCGGCCCCCCCTCCATCTGCAGTGCCTAACAGAACAGAACACATGGTTACAAAACAGAGTATTGTTCTGACAGGACAATTGATCAGGTCATAAGACAGGATGCTCCACTAACTGAATCACAAGGCAGGGTGAAGCATCTCCTTGCTCCAATATTTCATAAGCACACACACATTTATTTTATAATCATCATTGAATAAACCTAACACACACAGTCGCTGAGTCCTCAGCCTCCGCCTGAGTCTAAGAAAAGCTAAAATCAGATTCTTATTGGATGCAAAGGGGTTAAAAGCTCTTGTTAAAAGTGAACTGTAAAGTCTGCAAAAAGGGTATTTGAAAAACATTTAGTAATTTAGTTGGTGGAGAAACTAAAATGTCAAATTTAGGGAATGATAAAAAAGGAATGGATTTATAAAAGAATATGGTTATTCATGTAACTGCTCTGATGGAAGAGGAGAGCAAATATGTTAGTGCAGAAAGTTGTTCAAATTCACAACTCACATAATCTGACGAAGAGAAAGGGGAGCGAGAATCTACAATCAATGGAAACAAGAAAATATAAATAACAATTATTGAATGTTCCTTTTTCTTTGGCTGAGGAATGCTCTGAGGAACTTAACTCAGACTCTGGCACCTTGATTTCTAAATGACCTGCAGAACTGAACAACAGTCCAGTGCTGCTTCTCTGTAGCCCAGGTCAGACGCCTCTGCCGCTGTTTCTGGTTGTAAAGCGGCTTGACCTGGGGAATGCAGCACCTGTAGCCCACTTCCTGCACACGCCTGTACACGGTGACTCTGGATGTTTCTACTCCCCCAAGGTCTGGAATCAGCCCTTCTCCACAATCTTCCTCAGGGTCCGGTCACCTCTTTTGATTGTGCATCATTTTCTGCCACACTTTTTCCTTCCCACAGACTTCCCACTGAGGTGTCTCGATGCAGCAGCACTCTGGGAACAGCCTATTAGTTCAGAAACATCTTTCTGTGTCATTCCCTCCTGCTTGAGGGTATCAATGATGGCATTCTGGACAGCAGTCAGGTCGGCAGTCTGACCCATGATTGGGGTTCTGAGTGATGAACCAAGCTGGGAGTTTTAAAGGCCTCAGGAATCTTTTGCAGGTTTTTATAGTTAATTTGTGGATTCAGATGATTATGTGCATAGCTCTTTTAGAGAGCTTTTTCATTATATGCTAATTTTGTGAGATAGGAATTTGGGGTTTTCATGAGCTGGATGCCAAAATTATCTGTATTAAGACAATAAAAGAGCTGAAATATTTCAGTTAGTGTGCAATGAATCTAAAATATATGAACGTTCAAGTTTCATCATTACATTATGGAAAATAATTAACTTTATCACAATATGCTGATGTTTTGAGAAGGGCCTGTATATTTCATTAAAACAGATCTTTGATCATCATTTAATCCATCTCTGTTATCTGACGGTGATACAGATCTAAGTTTCTTAAACAGAAAAATAAGGAGAATATTTCTGATCCAAGGATGGTTCTGCAATATTTAGATAATAAATACTATACATACATTCACGATTATATGGATGCTTCTAAAGATTCAAATAAAGGAATGGTGTTTTGTTCATTGTTCCAGAAT